TTATACTCTGTTCTACTGACAACAGGCCAGCGAAAAATCTAACAATCTACAGCAAAACCATCAATTATTATGGGCGTTATAACATAGGTGTGCAGCTGAACGAAACATACACGTCGAACCCCCCCAGACGATTTAAATCCCTGACGAAACATACACGACGAACCACGGCAACGGGTTAAAAAAAATGTTTAATGAAGCTTGTCTCATTTATGCTTATATTACTAGCATTCATGCATCATTATGTTAAAGAAGCACAACTGACCTCCGGCACTTAGCTTGATGTCTGTTAATAAGATGTGCAGTTATCCATTCTATATATGTTGTGGTAATTTCATTCAGTGATTTTATTAATTCATACTGAGACAACCTATAATGAAAGGGAACAGATTATTCATTAGTAAACTAGGTGTAATTTAAAAGTAATGCCTGTATGTATGTCACATGGAACATTAAATATTCAACAGAGGCATAAAATGTGGAGAGTTTGAAACTGCAATCAGGATGTTATCGTGATATCATGATGGACTAAGGAATAAGTTAAATGCAGTTCCTTACTCTGTTTGAGTATATTATTTTTGCACAAGAGGAAATGGAAATTTTAGTAAAAAAAAAAGGTAAAGCTATGCCTGTAACTGGCCGTGAAGGTCCATAGGGTTGTGAGACGAGGCTCCCACATTTTCTCTAGACAATTGGCTCACAGATGGTGGTAAGTTTGTCAGCCTTACGCACTGGCCGCCCTTTACCTTCCAGGAAGATTCCTGGTACCCATTTCTGTCAGAGGCTGAGTCAACCGCAGGACCACAGTGCAGGTGGAAGAATTAGGTAAATTGAAAAAATCCACCTCATCCAGACTCAAATCCACAACCTTCCAGCTTGCAGCATAATGTCTCAGGCAACTACACTACTGCATGTCCTTATTTCAGTAAGTTATGTATTATTTTATATGTACCTAATCAAAGTATGGCCGGTCACTGCAGAAGCACAGTCTAAGGCATGAATTGCCTTCACTTGCTCAGAAGCTGTTATCGTGGGTTTGAATCCCCCTTAAGGCACAGATGTTTGGTGTGTGTATGCATTTATTCTCTTTGTGTTGTCCTGTGTTTAGGTAGAGGGCTTGTGATGAGCTGATCACTCATCCAAGGAGTCCTACTGTCTGTGAAATATGATTACGGAACTGAATAAGAGGCCTGGGCCTGAATGGGGCGGAAGAGCCATTGAAAAGAAAAATCAAAGTATGAAAAACTGAACATTGCAATATTCAGTCAACTGTGTGACACACAAGAAATAAGCTGGCAGTTTTATTAACACATTCCAGGGTAATAATTTAATAATATACCATACTGAAAATGCAGTACTAAATACACTGCAAATTACTGTAAAAAGTAAGCAGTAAAATATTTTTCTCACACAGATCATCATCTCCTTCTCCTCCTCCTGTTCTTTTCTTCCTTAGACATTTCCGCTATATATAGGTCAACTAGAACCCAGCCTTTTTATTTATCTCTCCCTTCCAAAGTTTCTGTTCTCAGTTTCTTTCCCTCTCTCTGCATGACAGGTATCCTAACCTATTGTTCTCAACTTGGTCCTGCCCTTCTTCCTCAGTGTTGTCCTTTCAGTTCCATATGTAGAATCTTGTGTGGGATTTTATCATTATTTATTCTTCAAATGTGTCCATACACAGAAAGTGACCATTGCTTTCTCAGAATGTTTCAAGGATGCCTACATATTAAACAAATTCTGCTTCTGCTCATCACACAAGGCAACAATCAGTGACATGTCCAGATCTTACATCTGAATGTTTTGGCATGATCCTAATTCATTAGCTAAAGCTGGCACATGATAAGATGACTGCTTTCGTAAGATTTTAATTCATAATATATTTCCAGCTGTCTTGCTCGTGTCCAGACAGTTTAAGCACTCTGTGTCTTAGACAAAAGTCATTCCATTTCTAAACTGAAACTCTTCAGTTCTGTTCATGTTTTCTTCCAAAAGCAAATTCTAAAGAATTCTGCAGCAGCTTTTGGTTTTAGAGACAGTATTCCACCACACTCTTCTTCAAAGGCTGCCATCTTTTGAGAAATAAAACCAAAAACAGCACTATACCCAACCTTATTTTACATGCTCTATTCTACCACTATCTAGCAGGGTACCTGCGCAATAACTACTGAAGTGTCACCTTGCAGCCAGTCCAGAAAATGCACTGTTAAACCTCACACTAAACCTCATCACTTGAAGTGATTTACTGTCAGCTGGTTAACACTTCACAACTGAACACTCAACTACTGAGTTGCTTTCTTAATTCCCTAATGAATGCATCTCCCTAATTCATGAATGAACTTCCTTTTATAACTTCAAGAGGACTGAATAGGAGCCAACACCCCGAAAAGTTAATCGTCATTCTCCCGCTGTCACAGGCATGTCTTTTTTAATCTTTGTTGCAGTGAGAAGACGTTCTAGTGAGCCTCTGCCTAGTGAATGTACTTCTGCTTCTGTTACAATTCCGACTTTAAGTCGGTGCTTACCGAACCATTACCTAGCAAATGGTCATATGCTTTACAATACTTTAAGGTGAAAATGAAATAAGTGTTGTCCTTCTAAAAATAATCACATAATAATGTCTTTCTCATTGGTACTCAGCAGAAGACAAAAATTTCCCATTATATCTCTGATCATAAAAGAGGGCAACTAAAACTAAATATATAAGTTCTCGTATACCTTTAGAATAAACTTCATCTAATCTCACAAAATGTATTCAAGGAATTAAATTCTCTGAATTTCTTTATTAAAATCCATAACAACACAGCAATAAAACAGTTGATGTTTAACAGGATTTTGCTACATGTTTCGGCTTATTAGAAAGCCATTATCAAGCAAATACACAATTAAAATGTTCTTAAGCTACTGAAATGCATAATATATGATTCAGTGTAGTGTTGGCTATTTGAAAATATCCCATAATATAATAATACTAGCTGTGCCCAGCCATGCCTTGCTGTGGCTCAGTCTGCCCGTTCTTCCCCAGTTTGATTTGAAATTACTCGACGCATTGCTTCCGCTCCGCGAGTACGACGACCTAAGCTTGTTCTTAGAAAACGAAAAGAAAAACAACGAAAAATAAACTATACTTACAAAATAACTTCCACACACATCTCGGATTCTCATTTCCGCTGTTTCAACAGTTCGTTGCCACGGTCTAACCTAGGCAGCGATCCGCTGTTTCAACAGTTCGTTGCCAAGGTTATTCCTAGGCAACAATCCACTGTTTCAACAGTTCGTTGTCATGGTTATTCCTAGGCAATGACCCGCTGTTTCAACAGTTTGTTGCCACGGTTATTCCTAGGCAACACTCTGTTGGTATTCGATGGACAACGTATAACACGTTACAGTATATTAATACTGAATACAATTAATACTTTTACCTGTTTTTACCTGTCATGGGTGTGACATCTACATAATAGGCAAATAAAAACATGCATGTGTTCGAATGCAACGTTGTGTAAAAATTTTGAAGCAATCAGTGAGGAACTTTCGGAGATCTTCAAGGAGAGCCAAACCAACAGTTATGTTTTTATTTATATAGATAAAACACGAAATACAATAAAAGATAAAGATTTTAAATTAGATAATTACATAATATAATAGTATGCCTATTAACGTAGGTTGTTGCAATCGTAATGTTATGTCATAGTGTTTCTGCGGACATATGGCGACAATTTTCTTGCTTGTATACACGGATGAAGTGGATACAATATGCTTAAACATCAACTGTTTTGTTGTTGTGTTGTGACAGATTTTAATAAAGAAATTTATATATTTAACACAACAGGATGCACATACTGAAAATTATAAATTATCTAAGTTTCAAACTTTCGCAGTATATCAACATACAGATGTAAATACTTACTTTACAACATCAAAATACTCATTGGCCAGAAATCCTGCAATTTCTGCAGAATATTCACAGAAGAACTTTACTTTTTGGCAGCCATCTTCAAATGATTCATGTCCTGACATTAAAAATGTCTGTATTTCACTGGACAGATCCTTTCCATAGAGTGGGCTATATCTCTCCACTGAAAACAAAACAATACAATTAAATTATATCTATTATAATAACCTCTAACCAGCCAATTGTCTAGAAAATGTGGGAACTTCAACATCTCACAACCCTATGGGCCTCCACGGCCTGTTATAGGGATACCTTTACTTTATCATCATAATCTCTAGTGTCAAAACAGAAAAATTAATCATGGAGACATTTACTTACTTACTTACATTTCATATAACAGCAAACTACTGAATGACAAATTTTGGTGGACTGACACCACAAAATAATGTTATGGCAAGTATTACTGCTTAGTTAACTCCCATCAGATACAAATTTAATTTCCTACTGTTGCATTACAGAGCCTTTCATGATGAACTGAATTCAGTGACCCCATCTGTGAGAAGAACAAGGTACTGGGAGCTGAACATGTTTTGAGCAATTAACAGATGGGCAGAAATGGCATCAGATCCATTACTATGCAGTTATAATTTATCTTGTATGGCTGTCTGCACCTTAAAAAGTCTCAATGTTCTGTCTTTTTTCTTTTCGCATATGACATTTGGAAATCTGTTTCATGTTCTCGTTTACAATACTGAAGTGAGATGGTGAAACATACTTGAACAAAGGTTTTCTCTACATAATACTTGCGTCAAATATACATTGTATGAATTAAGTAAAAGAAAGTTTCACTGTAAGGATCCTGCTGTTTTAGTTTCAACTATGTCCATGATTTTGAACTTGACAAAGTAAGTGCAATCAACTAGCTCTTTCTTGGACAAAAAATGAACTAGTTAGAATATGCTCATGAAGAAACTGAGGCCAGGTTAGAACATTCACCTCACATATCTCATATGATTAAATCAATAGGCACAAGTTTCAACTGTAGTTTGGAGAGTGACTAAAATATTGCATCTATTGTTGTATGAAATTGGACAGGTTCAAGTGATTGAAGAAGGTGAATACAAAAGAATGACGCATTTTCATAATCGGTCTTTGTGGGCAGTACACAACATTGCACTTTACCAAAAACTTACTTTTTTTAAGGATGAGGTCTGGTTCCATCTGAGTGGATATATCAATAGTCAGAACAATAGGTGTTGGAACAGTATTAATTCAAGACAGACTTTAGAAGTATTACTTAATGAAGATTGGTGTGTGGGGTGACACTACTGCTACATGAATAGTAAGGCCCATTGACTTTATAACATAGTGGTGTGTCAGTTACATTTTTTGGCCCTTTTTTGAGAGCATGAAAGAAGAAGAAGGAAGGACATATGGTTGTTTTATGCGTGATGGTGCTACACCATATACTGCTAATTATTCAATTAATGCTTTAAATGAGGCAGGAAAACAAGACATGTAGCACAACACATAACAGGAGAGAAGAGAACCCACCAACTCAAAAACACATTCAGATTGAGGGAACTTATTATTATCAACATAAGCAACGAAACAGAAGACAGCAGTTTCCTTGACCAATAATTTTAACACCTGATGATGACCACACTGGTCAGAATATGTAATGATAAACTTTTAAAGTGAATATATTTTACTAAATTCTATAGAACACAGTGTTGCACAGGAGACTGTACAAATTAACTGACACTAAGTGAAAAGTGCAACAGGATGTTAGGATACAATATTAGCAGGATAATAAGTGATGGGCTGTGACCTGAAAGGTCTCCAGACTTGAATCCCTATCATCTCCATCTGTGGAAACCTAAAAAATGAAGTGTATTCAAGTAATCCTTATACACTGGATGAATTTATGCACAACATTTGTGAAACAAATTACATTCATCAAAGTCAGTAAGAATCTTTTCACAAGACTTAAATTTCATTTAAGAGCAGAAGAAAGGCATCTTGAGCATCTACTGTGATTGTGGGTTCTTCTAAAATCCTTTTACTTTAAGAAATTCACATCTGTGTTTATAAGGTGTAGCATATTAGCTGAGAATATACACTAATTTCTCTCAGCACGTGGCAGCTAAGTTTCTGGCTAACAAGCCAAGATTAAAGGGACAAGTGATTTGGATCTTCAAGAAAGACTCTGCATAAAAAGCTAGAAACACTAAAATTATTGCAATTTTATTGCCGCAATTAATTTTTTTACATAATCTTCTTGTCAGTGTTTACTTCTGTTGCCCTACACAGTGAGTTGGAAAATTAGTCCCAGGATCAGCAACTCATATAAAGCCAAGTTACATCATACTAACCCAGTATACTCGTATTTAAGACTGATATTATCCTTGTGGATATATAGACAGACAGGTTTAAAATATACAGTAAGTCTTCTACTTAAACACTCAGTCAAACAGGAGAGTCAGATGCTACTTCTATCAAGTAAGGCTGACCCAGAACACATAACTTCACCTCATGGCTGGACTATCTTGAAAATTAAATTCACTATAAATTTATTAGGAATAATATTTACATAGTGCACCCTACTTCATCTTATTTAAGGTTTGTCAACTGTATATATGCTATAACAGAACACTGTACCTAACAGGTTTGGCAAGCAGAAGTAGGGAAGGTTCTCCTCCTACTTTCACACCACATCCTACACCCCACTACACCCACTTAAATTTGGTTTCCTCTTTCCACCAATGGTTGGGCCATAGCAGCTGCAGCCAATGTTTATCAATGCATGTGGAACAGTGGTGGTGACTTACCATTCTGCAGTTATGAGGAAATGGGGTTCTGAACTAGGTCAAGTTGAACTTACAACACCTCACACTCACAGCAAAACTGAGGTGGGATTTTATATTCAGAGGATCCAAACTGAAGCTAAGCAGGAGAGGCAACTAGCTGTTCGCAAATAAATAAATCACATGCCACTGTCTAGGACATTTTAACAAACTTTACATTTTTATCATGGAAGATCAAATTAACACTAACCAGAACTCATCTTCAGACTCCAACCTTTTTTTAAGACCAAAAAAACTTTCTCAGAAACCAGCTCACTTTTTAAAATACTCAAGGAACAGAAGCAAATGAATATCTACTCTAGGCTCTAGCCTCTCCTTGAGTCTCTCTTTACTGAGGTATCCTTGCATCCTACTTTCCTTCCTTTATGGCGATCTGTACCTCCTCATAATACCATTAAGTGTTTGAAGGATTGCCTGGTTCAGAAAAGCATATTCCTAGCCAACAGCCTTTCCACCTTCACGATTTGTTACAAATTTGGGGATGGGGACCCCATATGAAGCTAGCAGATATTTCACAGAGCCATGAATACTGTTTCATTGCAATGTTCTATTTGTGGCCCCACCTTTTGTGTCAATTGTGTTACTGAAGTCTTTACACCTATATACTAACAGAAAAGTATAAGCTTAAAAAAACATATAATTCTCACCAAGGTACTGTCTGTACACCACTACTGGAGCATACAACTTCTCAACATTCTCTTGTATAATCTGATGTGCCTGAGCCACTTGTTCAGGAAGCACCTTAACTTTAATGTATCCCAGTGGTACATCCACATTTGCCCAAGATTCTAATGGAACTAGGTGCTGAGCAATGCCTGTAATCTGTTAGTTTTTTACAAGGTTAGACATTTAAGTTCCAGAACAGCACAGATTTTAAGAAAATCACATTTGAAATCAAACATATCTTTTAATATTCTTCCAAATAATCTCCTTGAAATGTCACACAATTCTGTGCTTGCTCATAAATTCTTGAAAACATTTCTTTAACTCATTTGCATGTAATGCCAACAATTCCTTTATTGCATTTATTGTAATATCATCATTGACTTCCAATCTTCTCCTTTTCAGCGTGTATTCAATTTGGTGGAATAAGAAAAAGTCTGGTGGGGATAAATCAGAAGAATTTGGGGTGGNAACCAAATGAGACAATACTTCCACATAATATTCCTTATTCACACTCTGACTTGGTGAGAAATTTCTCTGTGAATAACTCCCTTAATATAGAAGAATGCGACCAACATCACTTTGTTTTTTGACCTCTGAAACCGAAATTTTTTGTATCTTGGAGAGCATGGTGGTCAAATTTCCATATTTTGTCTTTTTGCTTGGGGATCATACTAGATACACCAGGTCTCATCAACCGTTACAATTGAGTGAAGCAAGGAACAATCATCATTCATACTGAATAAACTCTTGAGAAGCTTACCATCTGAGAGTCTTCTGTTCATTGGTCAAACAGTGTGGAACAAACCCAGAGCAGATCTTCCATTTTCTGAGATCTTCCGCCAAGATTTTGGGAATTGTTTCTCTGCTAATTTCAAGTTACCCTTCTATCATCCAAAGAGCCATCTGACAATCAATTCCCTAACTCTTTCAAACATGTCAGGTGTACAAATGGCTATTGGTTGCCCAAGTCATTCATCATTTTCACGATTTTCAGGGCCATCCAGAAATCTTGCATACCATTCAAAACACCATGTATGAGACAGCATTGTCACCATAATTCTGTTTTATCAGTTGGAAATGTTCAGTAGCTGTTATTTTCCTGTCTTGAAACAAAACTTAATGCTTGCTCTTTGCTACATCAGTACAAACTGTCACAATGATCTGAATGGTACAAAATCTTAAACACGGCTGAGCATGAAGTGACAGATATTGTACAGAGAACACGATGGAAGAGTCGGCTTACACGGATGAGTTGAAACTTGTTTTCACGCACTTTTAAATGCACATAATGAACTCAGTCCAGGAATTTACTTGTCAAACCTTGTATATGATTAAATAAATCTACCATTATAAAGATTAGTCCAATTATAAAGTAAACAAATGTCCACATATCAAACACAGTATGAGAAACCTTTGAAATCTTTCTTTACCTACTATTTTAGGTCCAGTTTCATTTGTGTTCCTTACATTCAATCACCCTAGCACTGATCAGTGCACTACACTTTGGCATATGTTGGATCAGAGATGATTGTGTAGTCTGGAACTGCTCAGGTTGAGTTAGGAATACCAAGCAGATGTGAGAGGTCTCACTATCTCATATGAAAAATAAATGTTGAGGATTCAAGTGTTTTAAGATACATATGAATAAACTCACATCAGAACTTCTTGCCTCTGTTTTGGACATGTTAAACTGTGTTGTCTAAGTGAGACCAGATCTGAGTATGTGATATATGGTTAAGTAAATTTTGCCAAGATGAATTATATTGTATTTCACTAAGTAAGTTCAGTTAAGATAAGTTCGGGCAAAGTGAGGATAATTATACTTAAGAGAGTTTAGTTGTGAGAATGTATTTAGTGATGTAATTGACTCCAACTGTACAGTGTCTATACATGCCTACTCCCTTACATTTAGTTAAGGACTTCTGATAGCAGACAATGACAGAATGTCTTATTCCTCATTGTTGCTTTCTGTTTTTCTTTAACACAGTGTCTGACTCAAATTCTGGCCTGCAGGCCAGCAGTACTGCCTAGGATAATCTGTGAAACAACTGGAACGGTGCCATAAATAGGCTTCAGTATTTCCTCCCACATGTTGCCCAGTCCATTACTCAAAATGAGTCTGCCATATCACATTCACTGCCACATCATTTCAGAAGATAAAATACCACTATAAACAAAAAAAGGTTCAGCAGCACTAGTAACACAGTTTACCACTGGATACAGTCCTGAAATTTTTATCCAACCACAATCCTAACAACCTACTTCTCTAAAGTCCATCTTAACCTTTAATGTCCAAAGTACCAGATCGGGCCAGTGATGAGTATGGTCGCTGTGGCCAAAGTACCCTGATTTGGTCAGCCGGGCATTTGAACTCTGCTAGTGCAAGCGCACGCACATGCCACTAGTAGAAGCGCATACACAGTCTTAAATATTTATTTATAAATGTAGTAATTACCAGATAGACTTGAGTAAAACCCTAACAGAGGAATTAAAATGATACCTAAGTGAACAACAACAAAAAAGAGTATACATATGAGTTATGCCCAAACTCATCCACAAGCCAGTACTTTTATTGCAGATTCTGCAGATTAATGTGTTAAAAACATATAGTAAAATTTGATGTGCATATCTTTTTTGTTCTTATCTGCTTGATGTGTATATAGGCTGAAATGAAACTACAGTAATCGATTTCACTATGAACACACAGAAAACAGATTGCACTCTGTATCTCAGCCATGATGCAATGTCTGTTCATGACCATAGATAGGGCAATAATCTCTTGCAGCTACTACGAAGGTCTTAGCACTGAAGGGACCATCGAATTGTTCCCTCTAGCTTTTTCTTGAATAGCCATGCTTGTATTCTTCTGCCCTTTAGTCAAAAGATTAAAAAATCTGAAGAGTGTCAAAGATGTGAAACTTGCCAGCAAAAGACCAAATGATTTTATTGCTGCCATCTGTTTTATGACACCAGGTACTGCTAAAATATGTCAAGTGTTACATGCAGTACTGATTTTATAGTGCAGAACAACTCTGTGAAGAACTGGGAAACCATTTTTACAGTACACATCAAAATTAAAAGGAAAAAAAATGAAACAAAAAAAAGAGTATAACTCTTTTCATAAAAATTTGCAAATCTTATGTTATAATATGTGACACTATGTTCTTTGCTATTACAAACAAAGTTAATTCCGTCCATTTACCATAAAAATTGTGTTAGATACAGCATTTTTAAACACAATGCTTAAAATTGTTTAAGCGCACTAACAGGAACAGATATTTAAATGCAGAGTAGCAACAGGAATTTAAACACACACCAGCAGCCAGCATTTAAATAAAGTCCGGCCAGCTCAGGCTTACCACCATTTCAAAAGTCTGGCGTTTAGAAGTTAATGTTATCCTCCCTTCATCATTATTCTTTTCAAAGAGAATATTCCCCAAGAGGTTCCGCCACCAAATTCTGTATGAAGACCTTATATTCCCATACCCAGACACTACTGTACAGAAAGATACACCTATACTGCTAACTGACTTCATCCTTCATAGGTCCAAGTATTTTCCTCAGCACTCTTTCTTCCAAACATTTGAAATTTATGTTCTTCTCTAAAAATATAAAACAAGCAAAATGACTGGTTTCATACACTCTGATCTTCAGTATTTTGGAAAGAAAATAATAGTAATAATAATAATAATAATAATAATAATAACAAACATTTTCAGAACCTATTCTTCTGCTAATTTAATTAAGAATATAATTTACATTTGTCTATGTTGTTCTAAAACATGGTGTTTTTAAATGCTGAAACTTTATAAAATGATTCATTATAGAGGACATAGTTATTACACAAATTTCTTGCTGAATTTAGTCTTTCATTATGTTCATATGTACTTACTATTATTTGTATTTACTTCTAGACCAATTTCTTTAGTTGCCTCTAGGAGAAGGTGCATCACATATGACATACTAAATGATTATTTCATGATGAAAACAAATATTCTTACTGATTTTAATATTAATTTTCCTGCTCTTACCGCCCTGTGAATCCAAATAAACTTAAACATATGTTTATACTCACATCATCAATAACATTATGGTATATACCATATATTTCTGGCACTCTGGGAACTACTTCTATCCCAGTCTCTTCATACAACACATCAATTTTTAGATATGGGGTTTTATTAACATCAGCTGTCACATCAACTACATTCCTAATGGTTCTTAGCATGCAGTCTGTAATCTGAAAGAGAACTGCATATGAGATCAACTTAAAGATATAAATACCAAATAAAATAGCATAATAAATGCAGAAAAAATACAGAATTGTATTCTGGAGCAATTTTAGAATTGTAAAAAATCTGCAGAACACAGTAACTTCAATAAGAAAAACACAAAAAATTGGCTGTCACAGAATGCCTTTTGTTACAAGATTTTGACACACCAGAGAGCAGATTCTTTCTTAATTTCCTCATAGTCACTCGGCCAATTAAAATTTCTCTGCATATTAAAGAACCCAAAGGTTCATTATCATCATGGGAAGACCCTCACCACTGGTCGCTACTCGAGTCATATTAATCCAGTCCACATGCTCCTGCTCTGTTTCCTGGAGACCCTTACATTTATGTTTAGGTACGCAAGCACAAAGGCCCTACTGCAAGCCAGGAAAAGTTATGTCATATTAAAGCAAAAGTACATGTACAAAAGCAGGTACTGGTTTCAGCTACTGGAGATGCTTGGTCATTACTTCCTGGAATGATAGATAAGCCCTTTCTGCCAGTATTGCATGAACTTGAATATGTTCCCATGCTAGAAGTGTGTTTCAGCACTTTGCAATTATATAAGCATGGTCTGCTGGAATGCCTTGTCGTATTCACAGTGCTGACCACTGGTAACCCATAGGGACTAGTCCAGAGTGTTAGTTTTCCCTAATGTCAGTTCTGCAGTGTGAGGACTTACATTACTGTGTTCAAGAATCATGCTTTTTTCAGCATGAACTTGTCATGAAGGCCATTTCACAGTTCCTGTGGCATTTGAACATACTGAACTGCGTTAACAGTTCCCTTTCTGGGCAGGAAATCAAATATTATGCACCCTTCAGCATCCCAGAAAAGTGTTTCCATAATTTTTCAGGCTAATGTATGGTTCTAGCCTTCTTCTTTTGGAAGATGCAGTGAGATGCCATTCCAGCACTCTGTTGTTTTGTTTGGTATTAAAATAGTGGAACCAGCTTTCACTACCAGTTATGATATTAAGTAGGAAGTCCTCATCCTAGGCAGCATGTTGTTGAAGCAACTGAAATGACACATCCACGTACGGCCTTTTCTGCTTCTCTGCCAGCAGTCAGGGAACCCCCAAAACAGTATTAAATTTTCTGGTATCCCAAAGTCTTAATTATCTTCTGCATGATACTGTACCCAATGCCAAGCTCTACTATGATTTCCCTAAACCAGTACCCTTCAATCTTCTGAGATGAGCATATCAGCTTTTTGCCCATTGCCTTCCATGGGGGTGGTTCCTAGCTGACTGCTGAGAAGACCAGTGATGTCTTTGCTACCATCTTTTAAGTGTCTCACCCAATATTGCAGACTGCAGATACAGCTATCAGCCATGTAACCCCTAGTCTTGTTTCATCAATAAAATATACATAGGTTGGATAAAAAGTAGTGGCAACACCTCTATAGTTCTGAAATGACTTTATTACTTGAGGTAAACACACTTACATTCCTTCAATATAATCGCCCCCCCCCCAAGTATTCCACCTTCTGCCAAATTTGTGGAAGGCGTCGTACACCATCAGCGCATCCACTTCTGTTGATGTCCAGCAGTAACGGCCCTACAGCATGAATAATCTCCTCTCTTGTGTTGTAACGTGTCCCTCGCAGTGGTTCTTCCATTTTGGCAAAGAGATCATAATCACACGGACTAATATCGGGTGAGTGACGGATGTTGCAGTATCTCCCATCGCGGCGAAGGAGATCCTTGACAGCATCAGCAGTGTGAGCCCTTGCATTTTCATGAAGGATGATGGGGTTCATTGCCAACAAGTGTTATAACTTTCTCCCGAGTGTTGGATAAAGATGGTTATGCAGGAAATTGCAGTAGTAGGCAGCATTTACTGTCTGTTGTTGACATACAGTTTGGTGCAGTATCATTCCATCAGTATCATATGCCACAATGAACATCACCTTCACATTACTCTGTGTAGGGCGCACTTTCTTTGGATGAGGAGAGCCAGGATGCTTCCATTCATTTGACTGTCGCTTCAAGTGCGGTTTGTATGAGCAAGCCCAAGTTCCGTCCAGAGTGATAATCCTCCCGAGGAAGTCGTCACTTTCCCTCTGGCACCAGTCCAACAAGTCCTGTGCAATTGCATAACGCTGCCATTGTTGCACCTCGGACATTGTATGGGGTACCCAATGCACTGCAATTTTGCAGTATCCAAGAATATCGTGCAGAATGCGGAACACGGTTTTGTGACATACGCCTACTTCAGCAGCTAACTCCCACCCAGCCCATCAACGATCAACATCCAGGAGAGAAGCAAGAAGGTGAGTTGTGTAGTTGTCAACAAGAGGACATCCTGAACGACTGTCCTGAATGGCATCCCTCCCTTCACAGAACAATTTCACCTATCGTGCCACTGTGCGATATGGCACAGCAGCATCACCACATGCTTTTCGCAGTCCCTGATAACATGTTTGTGCACTATGACCTCGTGCAACTTCAATTTTTATCCAGGAGCGTTGTTCTTGTTTCATCAACACGTTGTTAGGGTGCTTGAACTGGACTCCTGTAGTTCAGGACGATGCACAATGCAACTCAATTAAACACAACCAGAGCCACTCACTGCACTACTTCAACTGAACTTCTGCTATCAGCTACAGACGGCGCTATTGCCACCTGACGCACATCTTTCATGTTACAGCAGTGTTGCCACTACTTTTATAGTATATGGCTGTGAAGGGCGTTGTCTTTTGGGTTATGACACATTGTAGTCTGGTTAAAGTCAATAGATGTTTTGAAGAAACATATCACTACCATCTTCAGGGTTGAAGAGTAAGCCAAGCAAGAAACTCTGCTTGATGACTGCTTCATGCTGATTCCTTGCTTCATTTACTCTTCAACCCTGAAGACGAAAGCAACATGTCTCCGAAACATACGTAGGTTTTCACCATACCAGAGATTGTTACATCCCAGATCACAGATATCTTCTATTACATGCTTCAAACTCCATAAAAACATTTAATTTGTAAGTTATTAAGTAAAATTATTAACACTTTCACTGTGGATGACAGAACATTCCATCATAGTTCAACAATAACATAATAGGTCTGAACTACCATTATGTAACCTCACCTCAATCACATACAGCTCCTGTTATGATGAGCAAGAGCACTGGAACATCATTTATAAGAGTTGAAATTCTGTTGTCTAGATGGGAGCCCTTTGCAAACACGCAACATAATACATGCCACCCACCCAATTTTTATCCATTGCATGTGCTCAGGTTGCAGGATGAGATCATGAACTGCGTTTACAATAATACAATTCATTTTCATTTTAAATAAATGCAACTACAGTAGGCACCAAAAATACAGTACTGAAATGATACCACTGTATATTCATGTGAAGGCCCCTTGCACGACATAACCTTCTCAAATCCTGAAGAAATGGTCCAGTCACCATGTCCCTGTAGCATTCTTGGGTGAAGGTAAGAGCATTGCCTTCCTCATCCTCAATGAAATAGGGGTCTAATATACTGGGTGCTGAGACAGCACACCATATCGTCATGTGTGTACTATGTAGCGGTTTCTGGACGATAACATCTGGCTGCTCAAAACCAAGGAAGCAAGTTGTCTGGTGACCACTTCCATATGAGATGAAATAATACTCAACTATGAATACTATCTCCTCTGTCAAGAGACCCATTTCCAACAACTGCACAACACAGCTTCCTTTTCACTACTGGGAACACGTGCAGCTGGAGCTATACCCCATCGACAAACAGGCTTGCGCATTCAAGATGCGCGAGTTTCAGTACTGCATATTTTGGCGCATACTGTATTTAGTGACAGTATGATAATGGGAAAATATTACTTATGTGCTTAAATATGCTCTAAATCTGTCTTCATCCATTTTCATGTCAAAGACTGAACTCTAAATAGGACACCACACATACAGAGCTTGAAGTTAATATGTACTAATTAGCCAATAATTTAAATATTCCACATCTGTTTGGAATATAAAGAACTTCATGCAGCAGTTGATAGTCATCAATTTGGTCAGAATTCTTAATCTTTTATAGAACACTTTCACTGGGCTCTTATCATAAGCCAGTCAATTCCCCGCCCTCACATCCTATTCCTTTAACATCCAGTTTAATATTATCCTCCCATCTTTACCTAGGTCATCCAAGTTACATACATAGCACATAGTTAAATAATATTTATGTATTGTATTGCATAATATATGCTGAATTATCTCTCAGAATAATCAGTAAGAAATCCAGTATCAGTACTTCATATAAAAAATCTGTGCATTTCAATGATGAACCTGAGTTGCCATGGTTAATTATAACGTATAATATTGTGTTCTGCAGAGAATATAAAGAAAATACTTCCATTTTTATTTAAATGATATAATTTGGCATAACTATCCTGGTAAAATAACACCAAATATACTAAAATGTACATACATTACCTCATTTGCCACAATGTAAGTGGCACACTTCACAAACTGTGGCCAGAACTCCCGTGGAATTCCAACCATGCAATCCTTCTCCAGAAATAATTTTACTATGCTGGTAAACATGACTTTGCTCACTATATCATCAGCTTTCTTTAGATCTGTAGCAATTAATTCTTTCAATTTCTCTATTCCTATTGGCCCCAAATTTCTGAAATATAATTATAGAAAGTAGGTATTCATACTGAAAGTACCATATAGGCTTATATAAAAACAAAGGTAGACATAATTTTATCATATTGTAATGTGTTTCGTTACTGTTAGACGCCGTAGAGATCGTTAATTGGTTTATTTAACAACCTACCAGTCTCAGCTACAATTAATTATAACACAGTTGCGGGGTTTCACACTTTATAACCCTATTCACGATAATCTCTTCACACTCTTGCGGGGTTTCACGATTTATAACCCTATTTGCAAATCAATTCACTCTGTCTTTAGTAGTCTACACGTTTACAGTAGGGGAGCTATGTATCACTGTATCACACACTCCCAATTACACAATTACACACACATCCGGTTCTTCTTTCCGCAATGGCTGCTATACTCCAACTGTAGTCTGCTGACTGGAGAACTGTTGATAACACAATGGCTCAACTACTACTGAACTCGGCGATGGCCACATTTCAACTCACTCGCAGGCAGTGCAGCTCTCTTATAGAGTGGCTGTGTTTGCCTGTTACGTAGCAACGCTGTTGGAAGTTGGTTACGGGTACGTAGCGTTGCACGCTACGGGAGCGCTGACTCATCCGCCATGTCACTGTGGCCTCAGTTGGCATGTTGCTGCGGGGTAGGGAGGGGTTCTCCATTGCGCAACATGTCACACTGCTCCCTCCTTAAGGCTGTTCGTCCCGAATAGCCTAATGGTGCACCCCATCCCTTTGCTTCGGAGGCTCTTCTTGTGGCATCTGTTCTCCAGCCATTACAACCGCTCCCCTCTTAAGACCTGCTCGTCTCGAGCGGTTTCCTTTCAGCTCACCAGAAGATCCAATTGTATTCCATTCATCCATCCATCACTTTCACTCTTCCTTGGGAGGCCGGTACTTCTACATTACTGGTTCCTCCCCGATCCGTTGTTTCTCTTTCCGCTTTGGAGGGGGTCAACACTTCCGCAGTGTCCAGTCCTTGTTTATGTCTTCCATGAGAAGTTCCTTATGTTGACGTAACAGCCCTTGATGCGTTGTTTGCACTTGCTGATGTCGTCGTTCCTCCTGGTCTTCCAGCCACTTGCTGGTATGGGACCATGGCGCCAAGTCCTTTCTCCAGCATCTGAAGGTTCCCTGAGGAGTTTCCTTCTTGGAGGCATTTCTCCAACGTCGTGCCACTGTCGCACGACGGGGTGTCTTCCTGCAGATGGCAGCCAACTTTATCCGGGACGCATGATCTCCTTGGGTCCAAGATTTCCTGAAGACGTTTCTCCGGCGCCATGACACTCTTGCATGGCGGGACACCTTCCTGCTGACGACGGCCAATTTGTTCTGGGGTCCGCAATTTTTCTGTGTCGAAACTTTCTTTTGTCGCTTGTTTTGGTCCCTACGCCTTTTCTTCTTCGGTTCTCTGACCGGTATTACTTCGGCGTCTTCTATGGGTACCTCTCGTAATTCTGCCGCTTCAGGTGTCATGTCCACTGAGGCTGGCTCTTCTTCTTCTAGATGTGCCTCGATCTCTTGGCAGGCCATCGTCTCATTTTGGTTGGCATTCACCATATTGTCTCTCATGGCGGCCGTCCTTGCTTGGATAGCTTCAATTTTATGTTGGAGTGTCTGATCCAACTCTGACGGCATAGATCGCATTGTGGCCTTTAATTCTTCCTTGTCGGCCGCTGCCTTTTCTTGATTGGCATCTAATTTTGCCAGCATGATGTCTGCTTTTTCTTGGTTGGACCTCATATTTTTCAGCATATCCTCTTTGTCTTTCTTCCAATTTTCTTGCAGGGCCTTCATTTCTTCCTGATGGGTTCGGAACATTTCTTGTATTTGCACTCGGTAGGTATCTGCTTTTTCTTGGCCAGCTCTGATTTCCTTAAGCAGCATTTCCATCATCTGCTGCATCTCCATTTTGTAGCAGTAAAGTACTCGATGCACAATAATTCAATTATTTGTCGAGGTGCGTTCAAGTTCGTAAACCAATTCTGACACCAGATGTAACATGTCTTGAGTTCGAATCTCGTTGGTCACGTGTGTAAGTCCAAATCCCACTTCTGACACCAGTGTAACGTGTTGGGTAACTGAAGACACCGTTCGGATTGTTAACTGGTTTATTTAACAACCTACCAGTCTCGGCTACAATTAATTATAACACAGTTGCGGGGTTTCACACTTTATAACCCTATTCACAAATCAATTCACTCTCTCTTCAGTAGTCTACACGTTTACAGTAGGGGAGCTATGTATCACTGTATCACACACTCCCAATTACACAATTACACGCACGTCCGGTTCTTCTTTCAACGACAGCTGCTATACTCCAACTGTAGTCTGTTGACTGGAGAACTGTTGATAACACACTGGCTCGACTACTACTGAACTTGGCGATGGCCACATTTCAACTCACTCGCAGGCAGTGCAGCTCTCTTATATAGTGGCTGTGTTTGCCTGTTACGTAGCAACGCTGTTGGAAGTTGGTTACGGGATGTAGCGTTCAGCGTTATGTCACCGCGGAGGGGGGGGGAGGGAGCGCTGACTCATCCGCCACGTCACTGTGGCCTGAGTTGGCATGTTGCTGCAGGTTAGGGAGGGGTTCTCCATTGTGCAACATGTCACACTATAATGAATATAACCACATGAACATAAATTGGCAATCAAAATAATTGTTTGCACAATTTACAACTAAATGTTTCAACCTGAGTTGAAGTTTTATATTTATGGCCAGAGCATCCATCATAGAAAGTGTCAAACAATAGTGTTGTTGCTACTTGAATCCCTGAGAGCAACATATGATGAAATGATAGATTCTTTGCATTTCAAAGGTTGAATGTCTATTTATTTCCTCACATTCTCCTCAGATGGTGGTGGTGATGGTTTACTGCTCAGTTTATGTCATATTATACAGTGTTGAATTATTAGATGATAGCAAATAATAAACTGGGAGCATTGTGGAAGGAATCATCCACGGCCTAATTTAAGGTACTATCCCACATTTCCTTGAAGGGACTGAGGAAAGTAATGTCACATGTTTGGAATCCAGAAGGGTTATTTCCATGGAAACGCTAGAACAGACCACTGCATAGGAAGTAACAAGAGTAGTATTGTAATTCCAACAGCGAGTCTCCATGGTTACAACAGAAGGTTCATTGCGTAGCAACAGCGGTGGATATAAGAAGGTAAGACATTCACCAAGACAGTCTCGGGATAGTCGCAGTTGAACAGTTGGGATCTAGCCTCGGCCAAGGACAGGTGAGATGTCACAGCCACAGAAGGCAGTATAAGCCTAGAAGCAGAGGCAGTAGTTGTGATACTGCAAGTGATAACAATTGTGAAGTGTGAGTGTAGAAGTGAAGCACAATAAATATCTGTTACATCCTTGATGGCGTGAAGTTATTTGTCGCGTGACATACCCAACATGTGACAATATTAAAAAAAAAAAACTGTCAACAAGAGTTGTTATCTTCACCAAAGTCTGAACCAGGGACCTCACAGAAACAAATCAGAAGTATTACAGATCTAGCCAATCTTCTTAGAAAATAAATAATAACTTGTAAAAAAATGTTTACCGTTAAAAATGTAGAGTTCTTTATGCTGAATATTATTCAAAGAGTAAATCAAAGAGGGTAAGACAGGCAGTGAATGTACAGAGGTAGGAATAAGAAATGTGTACATAAGTTTGGTCACAAAATCTGGAAAGATATCACATGAGACAAATGGATATAAATGGAAGGATAAAATAAAGACAGATTCCAAATGAAATATGGTGTGAGGCTGTTGAAAGGCTCAACAAGGCAAAGAATTGGGTCTAGTCTCCTCTTTGAATGAAACTTTTAGTTCCGTACAATATGAATTGGGAGGAAAAGTTCAGAGGAAATGCTTCTGTGTTGTCTTTTATGGGCTCGAATGAAGGTTCAGTGTTAGAAGAATTAACAAGAAGTTCTGGAAGGAATTAATCACCTACTTTCCTTTGACATGACATGGACCATACAGAATACAACGCACCCACAATTTTTCATTACTGCAGGAATATCTTTACCAAGTTCTGACCTAGCAAACATAAGGATATACACAGTCAAACCCATTACTCTCGTTTGATGAGACATGGACTACATAGAAAATGATGCATCTAACAGTTGTGTGTATTCACTGTTATGGGAATGTGTTTACCGAGCAGTTGCCTAGCACTGAATGGAGGGATACATTTAGAAGAGCCATTACCTTGCAACAGTATGAAGGATACACATAGACACAGACTGACGGGAGGGATTTACAAAGTACGCCATCGAGATGGGTTCAGTTACCTTGATATACACACCAAACTTTACAAAGACTCATTGACACACAGCTTGGTGATCTCATATTTTGGTTGTGACGATATGCACCTTGGATGTAATATTATCGGTGCCAACTACTATGCCAGGTGTGCAATTCTGACTGCATTTACCATACATGAAATGCAGTATGTTCCACACAACATTCAAATGGGTAGCCCAGGAAAAACTGGAGAAAAACCTTCCATGATAAGTGCTAGTCTTCACACAAAATGTGCTCAGCCCTGGCATAGGAGCATTTAAACAAAATTAAATTATCTAGATTTGGATGGGAATTGAATTACATCAGATACTGCTTCTGAGCATGAATGGTGTTGTGGCATTCACCTGTCCATTATGGGGCAGGAATATTATGAGCTCCGATGGACAGCTAAAGAATGTGACACAAGCTATCCATTTATAAAACTCATCATAAAACTAGTTAGTTAGTTAGTTAGTTAGTTAGTTAGTTATTGGAGAGGGTGGGTTTCCCCATGCACTGAGACCTGTATTGGTCCATTGTGCTTCCCTCTATGATTTCTACCAGTCTCTATATCTATATCTATTGGTGCTTACCATCAGTCCCGCCCAGCCAGCGAGACCGGCTCTACTAGCTGAGAGGTATCTATAATGCTTCCCCCACCTACCAGAGGTATTAGAGACTGCTGTTGGGTGGGAAACGTCCATTAATTTGGCTCAGTGACCTCCTTTGGAGATATGAGGTTCTTTTACATGCCGTAAAGCTACAATACGGGACCCACGGCTTAAAGTCCCTCCCGGAGGACTTGTTCCCTGATTTTTTCCATCCTTAAAAATTCGACGACCTCCGCCTGGTATTTGAACCCGCGTACTACGAGTCATGAGGTGGGAACGTTACCTCTAGACTACAGAGGCCGCTATTCTCATAACTTAGTTCTTCTTCTAGTATGTCTATTATATGTGAGCAAGATCTCAAATCCATGGCCTTATCTCACTGCCTGACTAGTGCATCTTATCAATGTTCCTGCCATCTGTAACTCAATAGATACATGACTATGATGTAATACAATAATGTGTCCTTAGCTTTTCCTACTCCATCCACCACTGACACTAATAAGATCTAAAAGTGTGTGACAATGATGCATTACTACAAATATTACCTTTCTGGACATTATCAGTCATCCTGTCTTTATCTGAACACAGTGTCCTGTTCACTTTCAGAACACAGTCTTTCAGAGACTGGATTCTGTCTCTGTCTTCAGGTAAAACCTGCTCAATTGGGCCCAATCAATAGAGCTAGTCCCTATCTCTGGAGACTGACACTACAGTTCCCAATTCTATAGCTACACTGAAATGATGTGCATTCAATTCTGTGGTTGATTTTACTCTATTTTACTGTATTAGAAAAAGTGAGGAGTTAAAAACAAATTATTATACTATACAGGCTATGAGACTGACCACTATCTGGTGGCAGCAAAACTTAGGAAAGATTGGCAGTGAAAAGAAAAACAAAGGCATAGAGTTCACATGGAAAGGTCCAATCTCAAGAAATTAAAAGAGGTACAGGGTAAAGAGCACTACTGTGTTGAAATCTCAAATAGATTTGCAGCTCTGGAAAACTTAGACACTGAGTTGGATATAAAAAGAGCACAAGAACCTATCAGAGAGAATATCTAGATTTGGATTGAAGAAGTATAAACCATGGTTTGGTGAAAGGTGCTCAAAATTATTAGATCAAAGAAAAAGCCAAATTGCAGTGGTTACAGGTTACAAGTGAAATAGATTGGGATAATCTGAACAATATAAGACATGAAGCCAGCAGGCATTTCAGGAACAAAAAGATGGAATATCTGAAAGACAAAATTGATGAGCTTGCAATGAACAGTAAGAACAAGAACATTAGAGACCTGTAAAGAGGAATAAATGACTTTAAGAGGGGTTACCAGCCTACCAGTAACTTAGTGAAGGATGAGAATGGTGATCTACTTGCAGATTCCCACAACATTTTGAATGGGCAGAAGAACTACTTCTCTCAGTTACTGAATGTACATAGGGTCAGTGATGTTGGGCAGAGAGAATTATATATAGCTAAGCCATTAGTACCTGACCCTAGTCCTTTTGAAGCTGAAATTGTTATTGCAAAATTGAATAAGTGTAAATCACCAGGTAGTGACCAAATTCTGGCAGAATGCATTCGATCAGGAGATGAAACATTACAGTTTGTGATCCAAAACTAATTAATTTCATGTATTTGGAGTAAGAATGAATTGCTTGATCAGTGGAAGGAGTCTATTATTGTCCAAATTCACAATAAGGGCGATAAAACTGACTGTAGTAATTATCATGGAATACAACTGTTATCAACTTCATACAAAATTTTATCTAATATTCTTCTCTCAAGGTTAAGTCCATACATAGGTGAAATTATTGGGGATCATCAGTGTGGGTTTCGATGTAACAGATCAATTACAGATCAGATATTTGCATTTGTCAGATACTGGAGAACAATGGGGGTGAAACAAGACAGTGCATCAGCCATTCATAGACATTCAGTAAGGAGGGAAGTATTGTACAATATACTGATAAGAGTTTGGTGTACACATGAAACTAATTAGGCTGATTAAAATGTGTTCAAACGAAATGTGTGGTAAGGTCCGTATAGGTCCGATAATTTTCCAATCTAAAATGGTTCAAAACAAGGTCGTGATTTAATGCTTGAGCTTTTCAACTTTGCTTTAGAGTATGCCATTAGGAAGGCCCATGAAAACCAGGTGGAACTGAAATTAAATGAGTCATTTTAGCTACTGATCTTTGCTGATGATGTGAATCTACTTGGAGATAACAGAGATACCATAAAGAAAAGCATACAAACTTTAATTTATGCTAGTTAGGAGGTCATCTTAAAGTAAACACAGAAAAAACCAAGTCTATATTGCTGTCCTGTCACCAGAATGCAGGGAAAAATCATGACAGAAAGATACCTAACAGATCCTCTGAAAATGTGGCACAGTTCACATATTTTGGAACCACAGTAACAAGTCGAAATTTGATTCAGGAGGAAATCAAGAGGAGACTGAATTCCAGTAATGCTTGCTACCATTAAGTTCAGAACCTTTTGTTTTCCCATCTGCTGTCTAAAAAAGTGACAATCAGAATATACACATACTTGTAGAAAACCATAATTCTGCCTCTCGCTCTGTATGGGTGTGAAACTTGGTCTCTGCCATTAACGGACAAACAGAGGGAGTTGAGGAGAATATTTGGACCAAAGAAAGATGAAGTGAGAGGAGTTCGAGAAAACTGCATAATGAGGAGCTTCATCATTTCTACTCTTTGCCAATTATAATGATCAAGTCAAGGACAAGATGGGCAGGACATACGAAGGGGGACCCAAAAATAACCGGAAACGACCTGTTGCATTTTTGTAGGAAAGCCAGGAGGAAACATACAACCAAGAAGACCTAGACGTAGGTGGGGGATAATTAAAATTGATTTTAGAGAGACAATGTGTGGCAGCACAGATTGGGTTCATCTGGCTTGGGGTAAGGGCCAGAGGAAGGCTGCTGTGAACATGGTAATGAAACTCTGGGTTCCAATGTTTTGAAATTCTTGAATAGCCACTCAGCTGGTGGTTTCTCAAGAAGGGTTCATCTCCATGGAGTTAGTAAGTTATAGGATTTGAGTTCTTATGGAAGTGGTTACAAAGAGTTCCATATTTTGGGATATAACATTGTGTAGTCCACTGAAATTCAACCAACATTTTGAGGGAATATGTCACATCTATCTTTAGGGTTGAAGAGTAAGACAAGTAGGAATCCAGCATGAAGCAAGTTCTATTTCCAACATGTTTCATGCAGGTTAGGTTAATTTTTACCCCTGAAGATGGAGGTGACATGCTCCTCTGAAACATTGGTTACATTCAACAAACTGCTTTATATCCCAGAAGATGGAATATGTTACCTGTATTTGGTGAAATTGGTGAGTAGTGGAGGCACACACGTTACAGTCCGATCTACGAGTCTTCTCATAAGGATATGTGTTAACAGAAGTCTCTTGTCCATATACCTCACTGTCTCCAGAAACTTGTGATAGTTCTTGCTCCTGCCCTTCCTAGAATAAACATTTCACTGATAAATATAAGTTAACTGACTATCCCTTGCTATGCATAAAAAGAAATTTATGTCACATGACACCAAAATCATTCAATTACTTGAAATTCTGATATCACAATTTGCATTCTCTTAGAAACATTGCTTTATGCAACTAATCATCATGAACTGAAGACATGGAAGTACGATTCCATGTGTTTAAATCTTGGCGCACAGTAACTCCAATGAGGACCGTCATTCTTGTGGAGTTTACTTCACTCAGGTAGTCAAAAAATTCCATCTTTCAGGTATATTGCTACCTGCACACTGGTTATTTAGAGCATCTGCACGATTCATATTGTGAGTACTCTAGGTGGTCTGACAATAAAGTTCGTGAACTCATCGAGGTAAAAGTGCTACATACCTCATTGCAGAATATCATTGTGATTGCCTTCAAAGTACTCCCTTTGGGAAGCTATGCACCTATGTCAGCGCCTAGTCCACCCTTCAAAACAATTTTGGAACCGGTTTTGTGGAATGGCCTTCAGAGCTGCTGTCATATTACTCCTGATGTCATCAATGTCATCAAAATGCCTTCCTATCAATATTTAATTTGTCTTCAGGAACAGGAAAAAACAATCATTGGGAGCTAGATCCCATGAACAGGGAGGGTGTTTCAGTAGTTATTTGTTTACTAGCTAAAAACTACCTCACAGACAGTACCATGTGAGCAGGTGCATTGTTCTGATGCAAGATCCATGAGTTGTTGGCAAAAAGTTCAGGTCATTTCCAGCTAAACTTCTGCACACAGCCTTTCCAGTACTTCCAAATAGTAAACTTGGTTGACTGTTTGTCCAGTTGGTACAAACTCATAATGAACAATCCCTCTAATACCAAAAAAATTCAACAACACTGTTCTTACTCTTGATTTGGACTGACTTCGTTTCAGGGTCACAATGGCAGACCCATGTTTCATCACCTGTGATGACATCTTGCCTCTCCAAAAACGTCCTGGTAAATTCTGAATTTTCTTTGCTTTTGCTCTTCGGTGAGCTCCTTTGGGATCATTTTTTACCACAGCTTTCCCATGTCAAGATATTAATTTAAGATTTTCCTAACTGTTTCTCTGTCAATCTTTGCTTGCTCTGCTCTGCTCCTGCCAGTCAGCCGGTGATTTTCACGCACAATTTGACAAACTTTTGCAATATTTTCTTCAGTTCTGCTCGTTGTTGGCAATCCCAATTCTCTTTGTCAGCGACACTTTCTCTTCCCTCAGAAAAGCATATCACCCACTTGTAAACTGCTGTTTTCTTCATAGCATTGTCCTCATAATCTTGCACAAATATCTCCCTGATTTCGCTTCCACTCCTGCCAAGTTTAACAAGAAATTTAATGTTCATTCATTGATCTAATTCAAGCTCTTTCATTCTTGCAACAGCATACCAAAACACAATCAGACAATAACAGATGCTGCTCAGAAAGAGACTGCCATAGATTAACAACAACACAATTGTGAAAGCTGATATGCCTATATCATCAAACTATACTGAAGTTTCTGTCAACTGCTGCCATGACAAGCACACTGTGATGAGTTCATGAACTTCACTGTCAGATGTAAGATTTATTCATTATTGTTTTTATTATTGTTCCTCATTGACAGATTTCATACAAATGGAATCACAGGGGCAAATTAACCATCAACTGTGCTGGCAAGAGCTATTCTATGCAGTTTCTCTACTGCCCTATAGGGGCATAGTATAATGAGGGGGAGGGTGTTCAACGAAGGCAATAGAGTCCAGCACAATGTAATGTAACCTAGATATGCATACAGTGTGTCCCGGTTCTGTCAAGACTGTGTTCATTAAAAATACAAGACGTGAATTATTTTCAAAATTTCACTGTTTTTATTCAAAATAGTCGCCTTCTGAATCAATACATAGCTGGAATTGATTGAAAAGTTTTTTAGAACAGTCACGGTACTCCTTTTGTGGAATCACATTTAATACTGCAGTACATTCCCTTTGGATGTCCTGGATGGTGTCATGACGGTCTCCTTTCATTGCCAAATTAACTTTTGGGAACAACCAGAAATCTGCTGGAGCAACTCTGGTGAATACAGAGGGTGATCAAGGACTGTGACCACTTTTCTGGCCAAAAAATCAGGTACGATCTTCGATTTGTGGGGTGGGGCATTGTCATGGAGAAGCGACCAGGAACCTTGCTCTCGATATTCAGGTCAAATTTTAAGAATTCTCACCCACAAACGATTGAGGACTCCAAGATAATAATCAGAATTCACTGTTTGACCTTCGGGCAGAAATTCCTTGTGAATGATTCCTTTGGAATCAAAGAAAACAGTTAGCAGTGTCTTTACTCGACTCTTTTGCATGCACACTTTCTTTGGTTTCAGCTTCTCTGGGCTCAACCACGCTGCACTCTGCCGCTGTGTGAGAGGCTCATATTGAAAATACCATGTCTCGTCACCAGTAACAATCGATTTTGTAAATTTTGTATCACTTTGGGCCGACTGTAACATGTCTTTGCAGTGTTCCACTCTGGCATGTTTTTCGTTGCCTGACAGCGCATGCGGTACAAACCGCGCACAGACCTTCCATTTGCCCAAATCCTTGGTCAAAATTTGATGCACAGTACTTTTTGGTATGTTCAAAAGATCCTCGATGAGTCTTGCAGAAACACGTCTGTCTGATGCAAGGATTTTGGTCACATTTTTCACATTTTCTTCAGTGCGACTTGTTCTCGGCTTTGATGCACGCGGAGAGTCTTCAATGTCCTCCCTGCCGTCACGAAATACAGCATACCATCGAAAATGTTCAAGCAACTCAAACAATCACTACCGTACACACTTTTCATCATTTTGTATGATTCTCCGGCTGTTTTGCCTAACTTCAAACAAAATTTGATGTCGGCTCTCTGTTCAATCGCCATTTTCCGACGAGCGTCAGAACAGTACTGTTACATTCAAGGTCAGAACACATGATGCAGCGATGCTTGTGCTTTGAATTTATAGACAGCCACAGCTGAAACTTTAAGAATCTTAATGCCACAACTCACCAACAGATGGCATTGCAGGGAAAAATTTAAAAAGATGAGTCCTAACGGATCCTGGGCACACCGTGTACATATATATATATATATATATATACATACACACAGACAACATGAACTCATAACCATAGTTTTCTTAACTATGGTTATGAGTTCATGCTGTGTGTTATGTATGATTGTATGTATTCATTCATGTTCCCCCCTGTCAACATTAAGGAACATGTGAGACTGGAGACAAGAATAGGTTGGTTCCACCTAACTCCCTGCCACTTAAGAAACATAAGTAATCTGTGTCATCAAGATATTTAAAACAATTTGGGTACTGAACTATTTAGTGTTCAGTATGTTAAGAATTCTAATTTTAACAAATCATTCTAACAATTTATTTAGTCTCTAACATTTTAAAAAGAATAAGAGGCAGAATTCTAATCATAAATGTTTCATTTTCTAAACAGTAAATTACACAAATCACTTTGCAGACATACTGATCTTAGCTCATAATTCTACACCCTAGTGAAACCAACTTATCTATACAAAATATAAATTTATATAGGCATTGAAAACAGCATGTTATAAGGGATTATCAGAAACAAAATTAGTTGTATTACCTGTACGGATGCATTTTCACCTCAAAAAATTCTTCTCCAGGAAGAGGATTTACAATCCTTTCAACCCAATGATATTTTAAATCTCGTTCATAGAGTTCGTCCACTTCCATTAGCAATGATGCAGTTGCTGTGGGGAATTTCTTGCGGAGTTCCAATGGTACTATCTAAAATAGCAAATGTTTCATGTAATATTTACCAAAATGCAATATATGTTGGAGCACCAAGTTTTAGGGTAAAAGACAGAGACCTCATGTTTTTCCAAAACAATGGTAACCATCTACCACACCAGCACTCCAGCACTATCAAATCCCAAAAGACTGCAGTCTCAGTGATTATAACATTTCTGCAGGATGATATCTTTTTGCATCTAACCTCACAGAGCCCTTCAGCTAAAGCAAGAGAAGCCACAAATCATTATCACCCAAGGCCAGTTTCAGCAGGGTGCTGTCAATTGTGAAGCTACTCAAGAACTTCCCAACATTTTATGGAACCTGAAGGATTATTATCATGTTCACAAGAGTCTTCCAAGAGTCCCTATCCTGAGCCAGATCAATCCAAGCCATACTATTCCATTTTATCTCTCTAAGATCCATTCTAATATTGTCCACCCACCTACATCTTGGTCTTATCAGTGGTCTCTTTCCTTCTGGCTTTCCCACCAATACCCTATATCCATTTCTCTTCTCCCCATTTGTGCTACATGCCCTGACCACCTCATTCTCCTTGACTTGATCATTCTAATTATACTCGGAGAAGAGTACAAGTTATGAAACTCCTCATTGTGCAGTTTTCTCCAACCTCCTGTCACTTCATGCCTCTTCGGTCCAAATATTCTCCTCAACACCCTGTTCTCAAACACCCTCATTCTATGTTCTTCCCTTAATGTCAGAGACCAAGTTTCACACCCATACAGAACCACAGGCAAAATTACAGTTTTGTATATTCTAATTTGTGTGGTTTTTGACAGCAGACGAGAAGACAAAAGGTTCTGGACTGAATGGTAGCAAGCATTAACTGAATTCAATCTCCTCTTAATTTCCTCCTGAATCAGGTTTCAATCTGTTATCATTGTTCCCAAATATCAGAACTGTGCCACTTTTCAAAACATCTGTTTCCTATCTTTATGTCATGATTTTGCATTGCACTTTGGTGACGAGATAGCAAAATGTACATAGTTTTCTCTGTTTTTACTTCCAGACCAACCTCCTTACTAGTGCCAATTAAAGTTTGTGTGTTTCTCTTTATAGTCTCTATATTATCACCCAGTAGATTCATATCATCGGCACAGAACAAGAGCTGATGTTTCTCGTTTAATTTCAGTCCCACCTGGTTTTCCTGGACTTTCCTAATGGCATATTCTAAATCAAAGTTGAAAAATAGTGGCAATAAAGCATCTCCTTGTCTTAGACCATTCTGGATAGGAAATTTATCAGACAAATGTTTACATATACGGACTATACTACAGGGTGGGGCACAGAAACTTCTTTTTGTGAAGATGCATTGTCAAGGGAGAGGAGGTCACAGAAAAGTTGGGATAGGCTCAGTGAACGCAGCAGTCGCCCAAGTTTCTGTCTAATACCCCTCAGTAGGAAACATGAGGTGGTCGAGTGAGTAGCGTGCATTTGCTGTCGAAGCCTATTTTTCGAACAACCATTCCTACGTGGTGGTGCAGCGTGCGTTCCATACTCACTTCGGAATTAAGCCCAGAGGTCCAATTCCCAACCGGCAATCGATTGTTTTGTGGGTAGAGAACTTTAGGACAACCGGGAGTGTGGTGAAAAAATCATCAGGATGACAACGGACCGTTACGACGCCAGAAAATGTGGAGGCAGTTCAACAGTCGATTTTGAGATTTCCAAGACGCTCTGCTCGCAAACATGCAGTCGCCCTAGACATATCCAATCGTTCATTGTGCCAAATTATTCACGAACATCTTAATTTCTATCCCTATAAGATGGTTGTTGTGCAAGAATT